GCTCACCCACATCATCATTAAAATTTCTATATTGATCTATACAGTTGCAGGTTGGAGTACCACAAATGCAACTCAATGCAGTGAAGATTGCCCCAACTATGTCCGCCATTAATTGGTAATTTAAGGTCCTGAAACATAATAAATGATGTGAACAAAAAATACTTCTTCTAGCGTTCGTCAACAGAAAATTCGAAAGCATAAATAAACAATAAAAAAAGAAGAAGTTAAACTAAATTGCCAATTCCAACCATATATAAGAGGTATAAAACCATCCATTACGTACCAAAGGAAATGAGAAACAAACAACTATATATATTATATAAATGAATAAGCTATTTGAAATAATAATTTTATTCCTTTCTACTCCTTGTTTGGCGGCAGATACATTCATCCAATTAAATAAATATGCTAATTGCTTAAGTAATGAGCAAGGTTGCAAACTCTCACTAAATTCATAATTGTCTCAAAGTTCTATTTTGTTCAAATAAAGTACCAAAGTAATTGAAATTCTCAAATAAAGTCATAATTAGACAGAAATTTATAGGACTAACATTGTTAACTCTAAGTGATTGTTGACTAAATATCCTTTTAGAGTTGTTAATAATTGAAAAGTTCAATCAATTATACTTGTTGTGTCGTCAAACACTTTTTTTTTTTTGGAAACATGTCATCACTTTTATTATTCAGAACTATTGCTAATTAATTGAAAATTTTCGTTTTAAGTTGGGTTGGTATTCAGAATTAACCAAAACTGCATATTTTAAAAGTTGGCTAAACATTGAATAAGGTCTCATACTTTCACTAAATTCACAATTGAGATCCCAAAATTTATTTCGCTCAAATAAGGTTATGAAATGAGGTCCAAATTGGACGAAAATTATTATTTGTTAAATTGGTCATTAATGTCGTTAATTATTTTAATTGGCTAAATATCTAAAATGCATGATCCCTAGCCTTTCTATTTTATCTTGGAATAACCTTAAAGGTTTTAATTACCTCAAAATGCTTCTTAAACTTATTTGTTTTGATGATGTGGCAATTTTGTAAGACCTATAACTAAAAATTATTTTTTTTTTATTTTAATTATGCAATATTTATGTGGCCTATTATAAAAAAGTTGCGTTATTGTTTTTTAAAAGGAAAATGAATTGGGACAACCTTTTTGTATCACCTTTTGATATAATTTGACATGTCATTTAAAGGATTGAGTATTTTCATTCAATTGGAACCCATGATATTTAATGCATCCACTCATTTAATGACACATAGAAATTGTATAAAAATGTGATATAAAAAGGTTATCCATATATCACTTCCCTTTTTAGAATGGTACCAAACAAATTATATCAATTAGTTGAATTAGCAACCATAAAAAAATAGTTAAACCAAAAAGGAACAAAGGAAAGGCAGTATTATAGACAATTCACAAATTCATCATCATTTTTAAAATAAAGAAAATAAAAAATTAGGTTACATAAAAAAAAAAAAAAGATTAGGTTATTTAGGTATGTTAAGTATAGTTGTGGTAGTTTTTGGTATTGGTTTTCAAAATTCAAACAATTAAAATTAAAAATAAAAACTAAAATTAAAAATTAAAATTAAA